TCTCAGACACATGAAAATGCCAATTGAATTTAATTTTGCAATGGAAGGCAATAAAAAGGACCTCACAACACACCTACAACATTTGAGGTACACTTAAAACATCTGAAAAATACCAGAACGGTAATACCAAACCTAACTAATAGATAAAGCAATCCTTTACCCACATTCAAACATAGCATGCAAACTACAAGGAGAGAGAGAGAAGCAGAAGAGGTCTATAGAGATTATAGACTTAAATCAGAAAAGCTTGGGACCACGGAAGAGAAGAGAGGCTAGTTAGAGCTGGGAGAGCATGATTTTCCAAAGGCTCTCCCATGTCCTGGGATCAGAACAATTGCTGGGGACCCCAGGGCCTCTGGGTGCTACCTCTTTGCTCAGCTCTCAACCAGAGAAAAGGAGTAAAATATAGAATAGTTTCAAAAGTCTTCTAACATTCCCTTCAACTCCTTTCTGGAGCCAAGGGGACTTGGAAAGTTTGTTCCTCAACAGCCTCTTGCCTGTGGCCTGCAGGTCAGCAGCCACACTATGCACATTTACGGGCTGATGGGCATCAAAATTATTAGTCTGCATTATTCTAACTATAGAGAAAAGCAGGATAGAGGTGAGTGGTCCCATTGCTTACCACAGATCTTCAATCCCAGACATGAGCCCCCAAATATGATACTGGAATTTCGTCTTCAGTAGGTTCTTGGTCTCAGTGTTTTGAAGAATAAATTTGCCGACCACAGATCAGTGGTAAGATACGATTTATTTACAGAAAAGAATACAAAAACACCAAAGCTCCTGGCAGGGAGAGAAACCCAAGTCAGGAGAGAAAAGCTCTCTCTCTCTCTCTCTCTCTCTCTCTCTCTCTCTCTCTGGGCCAGGGGTACATGTCGGGTGGGGCCCTCTGTAGTTACATTTAGCTGGGCTCAGTTGGTGTCTGGGACCCCCTGTGGTCACATTTACTGTGTCTGGGACAGTGTGTCTGGGACATGTCTGGGATGTGAATGAATGGCTACAATTCCTTTCATTTCCAGGCCGAGGGAATGGGGCCCCCCTGCCTACCCTCTGGCCCACTGGTTCCTCTGCTTGCTGCCACCACACCAACACCGCCAAGGCGGAGGCAGCCGGTCCATGCCCCCAGCTCCACAAGCTGGTTGGGATGCCACTTGTCCTGTATCACTAGCATTCTAGAGGGCCACAGGAGGATTGCTTGAGTTCTGGAGTCTGAAACCAGCCTGAGCAAGAGCAAGACCACATCTCTACTAAAAACAGGAAAATTAGCTGGGCAGGGTGACAGGGACCTATAGGTCTACCTACTCCATAGGCTGAGGCAGGAGGATAGCTTGAGCCCATGTGTTTCAGATTGCAATGAGCTATGATGATGCCACTGCACTCTAGCCAAAATGACAGAATGAGACTCTGTCTCAAACAAAAAAAAAAATTGTTTTTCAGGAAATAATGGCTGAAAATTTCCCAAATCTAATGAAAACTATATACCTACATTTCCAAAAAGCTCAATAAACCACAAGCAAGAGAAATTTAAAAAAAAACAAAAAAACAAAAAACTTATGCCAAGGCATATGTCTTAAAAAATATGGGCTAACAAATTATCATAAAGTAAGTGGTGTAAACAACACTTATTTTTCACAGTTATGAAGGTGAGAGGTCCAAGATCAGTGTCCAGCACAGATCAGGTTCTTCCAGGTTGCAAACAGCTGATTTCATGTTGGCAGAAAGAGAGTTAGAGAGCTCTCCGAAGTTCCTTTTATAAGGACACTGATCCCATTCATAAGATCTCCAGTGCCCTAAAGCCTCACTGCCTAATATAGCATGTTGGAGGTAGGATTTCAATGTAAGAATTTGGTCCTTAACAGCACATCATTGTTACATTGCTTAAGCTCCGTAATAAAGAAGCAATTCTAGAGGCTGGGCATGGTAGCTCATGCCTGTAATCCCAGCACTCTGGGAGGCCGAGGTGGGTGAATCACTTGAGCTCAGGAATTCCAGACATGCCTGAGCAAGAGAAGGACCCCGTCTCTAAAGAGAGCTGGGGGTTGTGGTGGGCACCTATAGTCCCAGCTACTTAGGAGGCTGAGGCAAGAGGACTGCTTGTGCCCGAGAGTTTGAGGTTGCTGTGAGCTATGACACAACAGTACTCTACTGAGGGCAACAAAGAGAAACTTAGTCTCAAAAAAGTGTGGGGGGGGGCCGGGCACTCTACCCAGGCTACAGCTTGAGATGCTGTCTCCAAAAAAAAAAAGAAAAAGGAACAAAGATAAGAACAACAAGAGAGACAGCACCTATAATCCTGGCACTCTGGGAGGCCAAGGCAGGTGGACTGCCTGAGCTCAGAAGTTTGAGACCAGCTTTAGCAAGGGCAAGACCCCATCTCTAAAAAAAATGACTGGTTGTTGTCGTGACACCTTTAGTCCCAGCTACTCAGAAGACAGTGTAAAAATATCTTTAAAATTCTGAGAAAAAATATAGTCTTCTAGGATTCTAGATATAGTGAATATGAACAGAGAGTGCCAAAAAAAATGGATACACATTTTAAGAAAGGGAAAAACTGAATCAAAATTGTAATACTCAATAAATGCCAATAATATTTGTTGTCTTCTATCTTGTATTTCTTGTAGTTGCAGAAGTAAACTTTTTAAATATTGAACAAATTTTAAATATTAAAACAATATTACAAATATTAAATAATTTTAATATTTTTTCCTTTTTAAAAATGTGTATACATTTTTGGCCCCCTCTATATTTTTAAAAATATAATGAAATAATATTTTTGACATATCAAGGCTGGAAAAATTCATCACCAGCATTATAAGAAATGTTAAAGAAAAACCTTCAGGCAGAAGGACAATTAGCTCCTGTAAATCTGGATACCTAAAAAGAAATAGCACTGGAAATGAAAAGTTGATTACTAGATACACTACTTTTCCTAATTTTAAAATAATGTTAAAATATAATTGTTTAAAACAAAAGTACCAAGTATGCATGTGGGGTTCCTAATACATATAGAAATAAAACGATTGACAACAATAGCACAAAATCCAGGAAAGATAAAATAGAAGTAAACTACTATTACAATCATATACTCCACGTGGAGGAGAATAAAATTATCAGAAAGTGACTAAAGTTAGAAATGTCTACTATAAATCCTAAGGTAACTTCTAAAATAAGCAAGGCGATGTAGATAATAAGTGAATTAAAAGATGAAATAGGATTATACAATATATACAGTGAGGCTGGGTGCTGTGGCTCATGCCTGTAATCCTAGCATTCATGAAGGCCAAGGCAGGTGGATTGAGCTCACAAGTTTGAGATCAGATTGAGCAAGAGCAAGCCCCACTCTCTACTAAAAATAGAAAAACTGTGGCAAAGAGGATCTCTTGAGCCCAAGAGTTTGAAGTTGCTGTGAGCTATTGACACAATATCACTCTAGGGCAACACCTTCGGGCAACAGCTTGAGTCTCAAAAATAAAATACTATCATCTTAGCCCCTGCAGTCCAACCTGGGCAACATACAACCCAAAAAAGAGAAAATTGGATTATTTAATATCAATAAAATTGATAAACCCTAAGCTGTAGCAGAATATCTTTCATTGAAACAAACATTGAAGCAGTGAAAATTATTTTTTTGAATTTAAAGTATCTGTCTATGCTCAGTTCCTCACACCTGTAATCCTAGCACTCTGAGAGGCTAAAGCAGGTGGATTGTCTGAGCTCAGGAGTTTTGAGACTAGCGTGAGCTAGAGTGAGACTCTATCTCTAAAAATAGCGGGGTACTGTGGCGGGCGCCCGTAGTCCCAGCTACCTGGGAGGCTGAGGCAAGAGGATTGCTTGTGCCCAAGAGTTTGAGCTTGCTGAGAGCTATGACACCATAGTACTCTACTGAGGGCAACAAAGCGAGACTCAGGCTCCAAAAAAAAAAAAAGACACAAATTTAAAGTCTCTGGAAATTTTTTCTTTCTTTCTTTTTTTTTTTTTGGTACAGAGTCTCAACCTGCTGCCCTGGGTAAAGTGCGTCATAGCTCACAGCAAACTCAAACTCTTGGGCTCAAGCGATCCTCCCACCTGAGCCTCCTGAGTAGCTGGAATTACTCCTGGCGCCCTCCACAACGCCAGGCTATTTTCAGAGATGGGGTCTCCAACTCTTGATCTCAGGCAATTGACTTGCCTCGGCCTCCCGGAGTGCTAGGATTACAGGCGTGAGCCACCACATCCGGCCTTGAATAAACTGTATTTTAAAAGAAGAGCCACCAACTCAGAAAGGAGGCCATCTAGTCTCCCGCTTAAATTGTTAAGTATTGTCTACCAGTTTAGGGAAGTTAGATTCTTAGTGACAAGCGAATGTTTTCCTTTCCAACTAAAGCTTAAAAAAGGGAAATTGGGCCGGGCTGGTGGCTCACGCCTGTTGTCCCAGCGCTGTGGGAGGCCGAGGCGGGTGGGATCGCCTGAGCTCAGCCGAGTTCGAGACCAGCAGGAGGCAGAATGAGCCAGAGTGAGACCCCGTCCCTACAACAACAACAACAACAACGAAAAAAAAACCAGCTGGACCGTGTGATCCCGGCTACAAGGGGGGCAAAAGAACACTACAGGAGGAAGAAGTAAAAAAAAAAAAAAAAAAAAAAAATTAAAAAGGGAAATTGACCCCAAATCTACACTCTGGTTTAGCCCCCAATGGAAGTACATAAAAGTTCGACGGCCTCTCCCGGTCCAGCCTGACTTTTACAAAGGAGGGTCCCAGCCAGAAGAGACAGTGGGATATCCGGGCTGGGATACGAATGACGTGGGGTCTTCTCACTACAGCGAGACGGCAGCGAAGTGCTAAGCCAGGACCCAGGGCTCAGCCGCCACCCAGTCCGGCCAAGGCGTCCGACGCCGGAGCGGGAGAGAGGGCCGGGGGCCGCCACACGGAGCCGGCGTGGGCCAAGGGCCGCAGGTGCGGAAAGGAGGTCGCCCCGAGCCGCCAGCCCGGGCGGAGGGCGGGGGCGAGGCATTGTGACGCGCGGCGGGCGGGGCAGGGCCCGGTTGCGGGTGTGCGCGGAGCCGGCGGAGGGCGTCGCAGCGCCGCGTTGGCGCGCACGCGCCTGAGCGCGCGCCCGGTGCGGCCGGCCGGGACTCGCCGCTCGCACGCCCTTGGGCCGCGGCCGGGCGCCAGTTGTCCCTTCCGTTAACGCTGTCGGCCGAGCCGACGTATGTGCGGCAATATCATGTCTGCTCCGCTACCTGCCATAGTGCCTGCTGCCCGGAAGGCCACTGCTGCGGTGAGTGGCCGAGCCCGGGACTCAGAGGGGCCCCGCGGGCCCGCCGCCGGCGACTGCCCCTCGCGCAGAGTGGGCGCTGCAGGCCGGTGGCGACCCGGGCGGGGGTGCAGGTGGCGGCGGTGCAGGCGGGCGGCGCGGGCGGCCTCCGCGGTGTGCGGGCCGCGCCGGGGTCGCGAACGCATCGGCACCCCGCGGCCCTCTGCATTGCGGAGGGAGCTGGTCGTCGGGACCCTCGGCCCAGGTGCGAGGGACGGGCGGTGGCGGATCGAAAGCCTGTGTCTGCCTGGCTGTGGATGGGGGAAATCTCAGTCGGCAGGAAAATCGCTTTATTGTCTTACCGTGCACTCTGGCTCTAAATGAAAGAAGTTTGACGATTTAGTGTCTTATTTTTAAGGAAACTTGTGTATGAGAACTTAAACTTATTTTTCGTCCCCGGAAGCTCCGTTTTGTTATGGAAACATTCTGCAGGATTTGTGAGACTTCGTGGTTTGACGTGAAAGAGACTTTTTATTGGAATAAAATTTGCACCTTAGGATGCCTAACTGGGAGCTCTAAGGGCTAACCCCCCACGTTGATTAGCTTAGGAACTAGAGAGAAGTTGATTCGTGTTTCTGCCATTTAAAAAAGGTCTGTAGCAATTAACCTGCCGAATAGAGTGTTGTGTAATTCCTCTTGTAGCTTTTAAAAATCTTCATTCCGTTTTCAACCCTCAGCAAACATAGCGTGTAATAATTGTGTGTGGGCTTATTTAGGCATTGTTTAGTAATCTTTCCTCTTCTCTTCTAGGTGATTTTCCTTCATGGATTGGGGGATACCGGGTAGGTACCATTGGTTTCACTAATGAAATGGAAACAGGGTTATGGATAGTCTGTTTAGAAGTCAAAGGTTTAATGTTTAAATACATTAAAACTGTATTCGAAAAGTAATGTTCTTTTCTAATTCGTGCAATAAGAAGATACATTCTTTTTTTTAAACCTGAATTTTCTCCCTTATCTTGAATTTATCATTTTTCAACTCCTGTTTCCAGAACATATTAAAATTGCAAAGTTGCTTTGGGTATTGGATACCTGTGATCTGGTATAATGTTAGTAGAGACAGTCTTCAATTAAGAGCTTTCCAGGGTAGTTAACATTTCAGAGCAGGTTGAGGAAAAGAACTGGTTGATTTTGATAAGAGAAATAGTAGCAACATAAGGCATTCTGAATAAGGGATTAGGTGTTCCCTCTTCCCTCAAAAGAAAATCAGTTGAAAGGCAGGGAGGCAACTGAAAGATTTATTTAGAGGCTTGTCAAACACATTTTATTGTACTATAGATACACGATTTATCTTTTACTCAGGCATTTTTTACATTGAGAGCTTTGGGGGATTTTGTTTAATTGGGTGATTACGTTTGAAACTCAGGCAAAATATGAATGTTGTTTAAAAATTGCAGAACTTAAGTAGTAGAAAAGCCCTAAATTTTCTTTCTTAAAAATGAGGCATTGGTCTAGATTATTAGGGTTTGTTTTTTTAGAGATAGGTTCTGCTTTGCCACCATCACCCAGTCTCAGGCTGGAATGCAGTGGCGCAATCACTGTTCCCTGCAATCTTCCTATCTCTGCCTCCTGAGTAGCTGGAACTATAGGTATGTGCCAGCTCAACTGTCTACTTTTTAAAACTTTTTTAGAGACAGGATCTCATTGTGTATCTCAGGTTAGTTTCAAACTCCTGGTTTTAAGTGATCTTACATGTACATACCTGTGATGAACTTTAATCTATTCATTAGGCACAGTAAGAGATTAACAGCAGTAATAAAATAGAACAGGTTATAACAATATACTGTAATGACGTTCTATGAATGAGATCTCTGTTAACACATTGTACTATACTCATTTATGGATGGTGGTTGAATACAGATAACTAAAATCTTGAATAGCCAAACTGAATGGATAGGGTACTGTCTTTATTAAGATAACATTCACATGCCAAAAAATTCACCCTTTTAAAGTATATTATTCAGTAGTTTTTAGTGTATTCACAAAGTTGTGCAATTGTCACCACTATCTTAATTCCAGAATATTTTCAACATCCCAAAAAGAAACCTCACATCTATTAGCAGACTGTTCATTCCCTTCCCTGGCAGCCACTAATCTCTATTTCTGTGGATTTACTTATTCTAGATATTTCATGCAAATGTAATCAGAAAATATTTGCTATTTTACATCTGGCCTTTTTTTCTTTTTTTTGGTAGACAGAGTCTCACTTTATCGCCCTCAGTAGAGTGCCGTGGCATCACACAGTGCACAGCAATCTCCAACTCCTGATTCTCTTGCCTCAGCCTCCCGAGTAGCTGGGACCACAGGCGTCTGCCACACGCCTGGCTATTTTTTGTTGCAGTTTGACTGGGGCCAGGTTTGAACCCGCCACCCTCAGTATATGGGGCCGGCACCCTACCCGCTGAGCCACAGGTGCTGCCCAGCATCTGGCCTTTTTTACTTAACAGTGTTTTTCAGGCTCATCTAATGTTGTAATATTTATCATTATTGCTTTCTTTTTATTTTCAAATAATAATCCATTTATTTTTTTTTGATGCAGTCTTACTTTGTCACTCTTGGTAGAGTGCCTGGCGTCATAGCTCACAGCAATCTCAAACTCTTGGGCTCAAGTGATTCTCTTGTCTTAAGTAGCTGAGACTACAGGCACCTTCCACAATGCCTGGCTGTTTTTAGAGATGGGATTTCACTTTTGTTCAAGCTGTTCTTGAACTCCCTGAGCTGAGCTCAAGCAATCTACCTGCCTCAGTCTCCTAGAGTGCTAGGATTACAAGCATGAGCCAGTGTGCCCAGCAATAATCCACATTTTTATCTAGGTTTGTACCTGAATATAGCTAGGTATAGAGTTTCCAGGTTAATGGTAACTCTATGTTTAATCCTTTCAAGATCTCCCAGATGGTTTTTTATAGTGGCTGCACCATTTCACATTTCTACCAGCAGTATGTGAGGGTTCCGATTTCTCCCTGTCATTAATACTTATTATGTTCTTTTTTATGATAGCTATACACTAGTGTATGAAGTGGTGTCTCAGTGTGGGTTTTGAGTTGCATTTCCTAATGGCTAATGATGTTGAGTATCTTATCATATGCCATTTGTATATTTTATTTGGAAAAATATCTAGGCAAATCCTTTGCTATTAAAAAAAAAAATCAGGTTGTCAGCTTGACACTTGTAGCTCAAGTGGCTAGGGTGCCAGCCATGTACACCTGAGCTGGCAGGTTCAAATCCAGCCTGGGTCTGCCAAACAACAATGACAGCTACAACCAAAAAATAGGCAGGCGTTGTGGTGCACGCCTATAGTCCCAGCTACTTGGGAGGCAGAGGCAAGGAGAATCGCTTAAGCCCAGGACTTGGAGATTGCTGTGAGCTGTGATGCCACAGCATACTACTGAGGGCGACAGCTTGAGGCTCTGTCTCAAAAAAAAAAAAAAAAATGTTGTCTTTTGTTGGATTTATAAGAATTCCTTACATAGTCTGGACACTAGACTCTTAGCAGTTACGTGATTTGTGTTTGTGAAAATTGTCTCCTGTGGTGGGGGGGGGTCTTCGCATCCTTTTGATAGTGTGTTTTTCAGCATAACAGTTTTTAATCCTCATGAATTCCAATTTATCTTTTTTATTTGGTTAGTTGTGCTTTTGGTATTATAGCTAATGAATCATTTCCTAATCCAAGGTCATGAAATTTTATACCTTTTCTTCTAAGTGTTTTGTAAGTTTAGCTCTTGAATTTAGGTCTTTGATATATTTTGAGTTAATTTTTATGTATACTGTGATTTATCCCAGCTACATTTGTTAGGAAAGCTGTTCTTTTCCCATGAATTATTTTAGCACCTTTGTCAAAAATCAATTGACCCTAAATGTAATGTACTTTCAGTCTAATCCATTGATTGGTACCATAAAGTCTTTACAGTATGGCTTTGTCCTAAATTTTGAAATTGGGAAGTATAAGTCCTCTCTGTTTTTCTTCATTGAAATGCTTTGGCTCTCCTAGGTTTTTGTATTTCTTTTCCGTCCCTTTCTTTCCTTTTTTTTTTTTTTTTGACAGCATTTCACTTTGTCACCTGGGTATAGGGCTATGGTATGGTGATAGCTTACAGCAATCCCAGTCTCTTAGGCTTAAGAGATCCTCTTATGTCAGCCTCCTGGGTAGCTAGGACTATAGACGCCCACCACCATACTTAGCTAGGTTTTGTATTTTTAGTAGAAACGGGGTCTTACTCTTGCTCAGGCTGGGCTTGAACTCCTGAGTCAAGCAATCCACTCACTTCAGCCTCCTATTCAGAGTGCTGGGATTAGAGACTGAGCCACCTCACCTGGCCATTTTTTGCATTTCCATATAAATTTTAGTGTGCCAGTGTTTGCCAAAAAGTTAGATGGGATTTTGACAAGAATTACACTGAATCTGTAGATCTGTTTGGGGATTTTTTTGATGCAGTCTTACTTTGTCACTCTTGGTAGAGTGCCTGGCGTCATAGCTCACAGCAATCTCAAACTCTTGGGCTCAAGTGATTCTCTT